ATGCAGTAGGAAAACAAGTGGAGAGAGAGAATCCTTAGCTTCCTTCTATAATAAATCACAAAAATACACAGCTCTGTTTACAAGTCCTTACTCTTAAACCTGCAGTGTTTGCAGAATACAAACAAAAACAGCAGTGGAATCAAAGCATGTTGCTAACATCTGCAGGCAAACGTGTTGCCAAAGCCAACTTTTTAAATCAGTCTTTATTGCCCAGGAATATTTTATTAGCCCATCCGTAATGTAAACTTAAAAGTATATCATTTTTGTTTTATTGTTCAACATGACTGAAAATTTGTCTGAACCTTGTCAACTCTTATCTTTTTATAAAAGCTTAGGCGATATTTTTAAAGTACAGTGTAATGGAGAAAATTATGAGAAATGAGTAAGATTTGACACTGTGATCTGAGGTACCGAGGCTTACATGGAATGAGGAGTTCACTGTCAATGTGGCTGCTTTATGCACAGCACTAAGTGACTGTTAAAAATGACATGATGCTTGTTGAAATGTGTGCTATACTGAGAATAGGGTCCTTTAAACAGGTCTGAAAAAAGTTCCCTGTTCAAAGAAGCTAATTTTTGTAAGACCAAACAGTACTAACAATAAAGGTAAGGTGCAAAAATGGGAGAATGTTTTCGGGGGAGACCTCTTGAGAGTAAGTAAAGTAAAAATGGCTTTAAAGGGAAGTGTCTAATTGAAAGTTGAACTTCTGTCTTAAGAAAGTTATCTACTATTAAAAGTAACAATGGAATCACTAACTAAAAGAGGGGGACTAAGATTGGTTTTCAGGTTTCCTCTCTGTACTTGGAAACACTTGACAAATAATCACCTTTTATTGTTCTTTGTATAGATAGAACACCTTTGCTTTTGGGTTTTTGCACAACAGAACAGTTATGCACCCAAAAACACATCCAGAGTACACGCCCTGTTGTAAGCTATTGATGCGCAGAAGCTTTTTGCTGAGTTTTTTTTTTTTTTTTAAACCCTGGAATAAAAGGGGTGCTAGGCATGAGAAGTTACTGCTGGCTGATACAGATTTCCCTGCGGAGGTACCAACCAGAGCAACTGCTGCAGAGTTAATACTGTAATTGTTGGAGCTTATCCAAAGCAATTGTGGAGCATCAGTCCTGAGACAGGAGCACCAACATATTGATTAGATTTAAAAAAAAAATATGTACTTGAAATGAGATTTCACAAGCCTTGAGTGATTTTTTTTTTTTTTTTTTTTTTAAGATTTATTTTTATTTTTATTTTTTTTACTCTTTTGCAGTTAAAAAGGCCAGTGAATGAATTTTCTTATAACTCGATGGTTTCTGTTTATGCCCAGGCCCATAGCGTAAGCATAAAACCAGGCCTTTCCTCTATATTTACATTGCCTAAATTTTTCACTAGAAAAAGTTGCATCTATCCTAGAGGTTTGTGTTGCTTTTAGTATATTGGTTTCCACCTAATATAATTAAAGCTGTGCAAAATTTTGCATATAGCTGCAGTCTTTGGCTCATGAAATCTTGTTCAGTCTTTGCCGAGAAGCTGTTGAAGCGCCACTTTGTTTCTCACTTTTGATGCTTAGGAAAATTTGTAAGCATGCCAAAATAAATGGATACTGACTCTTCGGAAATGCTGGACTCGCTCTCCTGCCGCAGCAGCACCACATTCTGCAATATTGGAAAAACCCAGTTGCTGTCTGGGATGTTATCTACTGCCAGAAAGTCCCTGTGCTTGGGTGAGGTTGAGGAACAGATCAAAGGTGTGCTCCCTTAAGCTACATCCCAAACCCATCAGCCCGTTCTTGCCCACAATAGATGTCGTTGGTCCTGAAGCCTAAATAGTTGAAGTCTCTGCTGTAGTGTTAAAGGAAGAGGGTTCATGTACTACTGATTGGGAGATTTTTAAGGTTGTCAAACCAACCATGCCAGGTTAATGGTTACCACAGTATCTTTAATTTTATCTCCAGTTGCGTGCATTACTTTCACCTGGGCTACTATTAGTCTGGTATTTCCTAACTCCGGAAGACTTGACTTTCTAACCTAAATGAATTACTTTAAATGTACTTCTTTTGTGGATAATATTGATTAGTAGCGCATGAACATTATTTTTCCCCTGTTAATCGTTTTGTTGAGTCCTTTCATCAAATGATATAAACTGGCAGCATGGGGTATTTGATTTGACAGGTGAAAAATACTAGGTCAGGTTAGTGGTCAAACGGTATCAAATAATGGCCAAATTATTATTAGAACAGTGAAGAGGGAGACTTTAATCTTCAGTAGATTAGATATTCATGCTACTTAGGAAAAAAAAACCAAGTCAGTTACCTGCTATTGTGAAACAATTAAATAAGATTCTAAAAAACTGTAATGAATTTTATAACTGTCAGCATTAGGTAATTGTAAATATGGATGATATTCAAGACGCAACAGTTCTTTTCTTTGGTACATATCCTGAAACCCCAGGTTTAGCTTGGACTATGACAAAAAAAAAAGGAAGAAATAAAATGCTTAGTAACTATAAAAGAAAAAGGTAATTTTTAAATGCAGTTTTGCTAAGTAGGCACCAAACCAACTCCTCATTAATTATGCTGTTTGCATTTGGAAATGCCTGTAATCACAACAGGCAGCTGGTAGGAGAATTTTTTCTATCTTGTTTTGGGTTCTTCCCTTAACATGGAGTAGCACCTGCAGCCTCTCACAGCCTAATGGAGGCGTGTGGGTATGGGGGCAAGGGAAAAGGTTGGAATTGCTCAGGAGAGGGGAAGTGGAGCAGGG